CCTACTGTAAAATTCCTACTGTGATCACAGAAACTTTGATAGTGTAAAACCAGGCTCAAGGGTGTCATCTCTAATTGGTCTGGTGTTACAAGGAAGATGTATAACCAAGGATTCGTTCGACACATACTTTGTTCGTGGCATCCAAACCATCGTACGTTCTGTTTCCAAACACGGCAAAATACTCTGTAAATTCCTCAAATATCTCAACCACTTGATGGCTCAGCATTTTCCCTTTAATCCCACCAATCTCGACTTTCTCCAACTTGCAAAATTCGATCGCTGTCGAAAACAGCTCCTGGGGAGATAAATTGAGATTATGTTATTCGTAGTTACACATTTGACGTTGACCCGCGATTTATACTATACAAACGAACGATCCGCCTGGACAGACTAAAATAAACTAGGTTATTGACAATCCTATAGATTTATATCTAACCAATTTTTATCTAACCACGCACCTCGACTACTGCCACACGTTCGATGAACTTATCCAGCCTAGCAAACGCAAGTTCATTCGCAAACTCCCAGTTCTTGACGTTCTCTGGATCTTTATACAACTGACTCATGTTTCCCCTCGTCTGCAGGAACAGATCTTGCCACATCGTACAGACATTCAGCACGACTTGCGTCTTCTCCAGGGATTCTTCTGCCTCGCCTTTGAATATCTCGGCAGGATCAAGGAAGCTACGAGCCTGATATAGTGAGAAACAAAATTACTACATGATAATCGCATGTACATGTTTCTAGTACCTTCTTATCTGTGAAGTACTTTCTAATGTACAAAAGAGCATTTTCAGTCTTGACATATCGGTGGAAACTAAATGATAGATTCACGCACTAGCGAGCTATCCCCTACTGTTTCGGTGTTATAAGCTCAGTAGCTAATTCACGCTTCAATTTTAACGCACAAATTGTTGACCTCAAAATACCATTTGGGGTTAGCCGGTCTGTCGTCAACGCCCTAGTTCCCGCTATTTTCTTGCGATACTTACCATTTCGATAAGCATGTTACACATCTCTTGCAAGAGGACAATAATCCTGGCAGGTCGACAGTAGAACTTTGAATTTGCCCAAATCAAACCAATCGTGTGCATAAGAGCAGGCAAGACTTTCTCGATCTCAGTGAAGTCATATTGTTCCATATCTTCCAACTGTCTTCTCAGTGGCTTGAGGAATGTGTTAATGTCGCGGGCTTCTTCCAGTGCTATGGACGAATAGAAAACATGTTGACGAAGAGATATAATATACAGATTGCCTTATTGAATACTATTCTGTGTCGAATGTCATTCCGCAACTTGCAACGCAATTTCCAACATAATGGACGGGTGATTTACCGAAGAGAAATGTTTTTCCTGATCCAACATTAAAAGTCAAACTGTTTTTTACCAAACCTCAAATATGTATTAGAAAATAAACGCCAAAAACGTTTCAAAGAAATGATGAGAATGACCATTATATTTCGCCAACATTTTTCAGTACCGTACTCATTTTTTTTTGTTGCCTGTTTGTCCTTTCACCGTTTGTCTAGTATGTGTCTATCTATTTGTATAATTGTATCTACACATGCACTACGCCTGTTAGTTCCCGTTTGTGTGTCCATCTATCTAACATCCTGTCAGCGTATTCTACCGTTTTCGTTCATTTTCGTGTATCTAAATCCGCTCAAAACAAACACTCACCACATATAACTTCTTTAAATATCGTCTTGAATGCCAAGAAATAGCTGCTTTGTGTTTTCTCTAACAGCTCCGCCATGCTTCTCACTCGGTCGTCTCTTAGCTGTAAACAACAAACAAATTTTAGCAAATACCCAAAACGTACATGTATTGATGGTTTTCATTAAAAAGGCTTGTTTACACTCTCTGTGGTTACAGTAGGAATGTTGCATCGGTAAATTCTAAGTTTTGAAGGATTTGTAAAAAACGTTTTTAAAGGCTTGTTCAGTGTTTCACACTCGAAGTTTTTTCTCTACCTGTTCAAAAATGCACTCAAGATTTTCAGCTCTTGCTTTCCAGAAGTCCAGTTCGACCATGGGACCAGGATTGGTTCCCTCAAGAAGTGGTTGTGCTGAGTCTCTCTTGAGGACGTTCTGTATTTGATGTGACCAATCAATAATGATTGATTCAATAGAGTGAACCAAACTTCTGTCAAACTGTTCCCCTCTACAAGAAGTAAGAAATCCCACATTTAAATATACTGTATCCATAAACCTCATCATAATCCTAAACCTGACCTTATTCATAAACCTGACCAAAATGCAAAGTTTCACCCTAATCCTAATAATCCTTGACCTGACTTTAATCTAAACCAGATAGAAATCTGATCCTAATCTAAACCTGATACAAATCTTAATTCTGACCCTAATCTAAACCTGAAACAAATCCTAAATCTGACCCTAATCTTAAACCTAATACCAATCCTAAATCTGACTCTGAATTCTAATAGATCTCTAAAATCCAATCTTAATCTAAACCTGATACAAATCCTAAATCTGACCCTAATAATCCTAAATCTAACCATAATAATCCTAAATCTAACACTAATCCTATATCTGGTCCTAATCCTAAATCTGACCTATTCCTAAATCTGACAATCCTAAATCTGACCCTAATTCTAAATCTGGCCCCAATCCTAAATCGGACCCTAATCCTAAATCTAATCTTAATCTAAACCTGATACAAATCCTAAATCTGACCCTAATAATCCTAAATCAAACCCTAATAATCCTAAATCTGACTCTAATCCTAAATCTGACCCAAATCCTAAATCTGACCCTAATCCTAAATCTGGCCCTAATCAATCCTAAATCTGATCCTAATCCTAAATCTGACCCTAATCCTAAATCTGACCCTAATCCTAAATCAGACCGTAATCCTAAATCTGACCCTAATCCTACATCTGACCCTAATCCTAAATCTGACCCTAATCCTAAATCTGACCCTAATCCTAAATCTGACCCAAATCCTAAATCTGACCCTAATCCTAAATCTGACCCTGTTCCTGAATCTGACACTAATACTCAATCTGAACGTAAACCACAAAATCACTGTTTTGTATGTAATGCTGCAGAAGACCAACCTTTCATCAGCTTCGCAAGCCTCTGAGACCTGATCAGATCCCACTGGCAATGGTAGCAATGTTTTTCCTTTGACTTGACCAGAAATGACAAACACATTGCTTTTGAGTGAGTGCACATGACGTAGCACGTCATGAGACACAACCGCAGGCCACTGTTCATGATTTCTTTGGTTTGATAAGAGAGGCACCAGAATCTAGAAACAAGGGATACAGTAAAACCCAGCACATAAGAACCTAGATTTTTCAAGTTAGCCTGAACAGGTTCTTATATAAATGGTGCTTATCACAAAATTAGGCTAAACAGGTTCTTAAATAGGTTCTTATTTTCTAAAGAAAAAGTGACTCATTTTCAGTTGGTGTAGAAAAAATTTATATAAATTATGCCCATATGAAGAGAAGACTTTGTTTTCTTTGATTTATAAATTTTAGTTTTTTTGCATAGTATGACCTGTTGCTAGGGCTAGCTTCGCCATTGTTCTGATCACTTAGGAAATTTTACATTGTACCATACCCAAGAATATTATCACAGCTGTTGCATGCATACACCATCAAAAATAGTTTTTGCCATTAATTAACCCATTAAGCTGCAAAGCTCTCAAATGCATTCAACTTTCTTTCTGTCTTTACTCTGTGTAACGCCCAATGATTTTATTCACGAAGCGGGGTCTTGTGCTCAAAACCGCTCGACTTTACTGAAGGTTTTGCTATGATTTTGGGATAACCGTTGCAATGCTGTCACCATCACTCGCCATGTTCCTAGCCAGTGTGTTTATGAGAAGCATTCACCCCCCTGAAAATATTTAAAATGGTAGACGCTCAGGGGCATAAGCACACTGGCTAGGAACATGCCAAGTGCATTTTGATGACGAATCATTGCAAATCATGGCATGGCGGCAGTTATGCTTTTTTGGCTAAGTCGGCTTTTTGTATGGTCTCTATTCTGTGGCCATACCAAAATGGGATGCCTCTCCCCTTCCTGGCTCCCCAGATCGTGACGTCCAGACTGTGGCAGTTTTTCATAAGTTTCCCACTTCTAATAAATTAGAAGTGTCTGGCATTCAACAGAATAGAACAGTTTGGCTTTTACTACGACTTGGCTAAACTTTGCCCCAAAAAATCGTGATGTAGACAAAAACAAACAAACATGCAATATATTAAAAAGATACTTTTTACAGGTATAAACTGTAAGACTGTAACTACAATAAAATGGAAAAAAAAAACACAACACACCTCTTCAACGAGGGCAAAAAGCTGCTCTGGCGGTGCATAGGACAAATCCCCAAAGGCCAAAGCCGTTTTCACATTGTCTTTACCGATATTTACGGATTTTTCTTTCTTCGCAACGTAAACGGCTTTCGTTTTCAAAGTGAGTGGAAAGTCATAAAGAGGTTGCAGTTGTCCCGCGGAATTTTGCATTATGACGAGCAAATGTAGCTCTGGCTTCTCAAAGAAGTTCAAAATCTGTTGTCTGTATTCTTCGTTGCCTTGCAACTTCGCCCATTTGTCATTTTTGAGCTTCATGCTCTTCAGGACATAGTCCGACAAGAAGTCAAAACGTGGGTCAGTGAACTCCATGTTGTCAAAACGTTGCTTAAAAAGTCCTTGGTTTTGCAAAATTTACAAATAATTTAACTATTATTAAACGCCAGCAGTACGGCCAAATGTATTCCAGTCATTCTCCGTCAATAAATAGAGTGAAAATACAAAACTTTCCTCCAAAATCTACCAATTTCTACAGCGTTTACTTTCCCTCCTTCGCGCTTTCTTGCCGACTGTGGTCGCTATCGTTGCTATGACGACAAAATGATTGTACACCAGGAACAATTACCCCCCGGAATAAACTCCCTATCGTACCGTCGTTTGCGTCTAACAGTAAACACTCGAAGATAAAACAATACATTTTGTGATGAGGAATAAACAAACTCAGTTTAGGCAGAACACTGTAAAGTTTAGGTTCAAACTGTATCAACAAAAGACGGCTCTTACTGGACCTCTAGGACGAATGCGTCTCTTAGAACTGATAGAGCTATCCAGTATAAACGAAGTTTAGTTTAGTTCAGTAACTATATGTGATTTAACATCATATATGCAAGACAATTATTCATCTTGATATTTTGCTGTACAACTTAAATATAACATATATACACGCAATTTTAATTAAATTTACATATAAGATCTAGTAAATATTAACAAGGCAATTATAATGTTTATAAATATTTTTGATTCGTTCTAATTCAACGGCTGAGTCTAGAAATGACTTTCATATATTTCTCGTGGTCTATCATTCAAAATTTGCTTAACCCAGCTGCAAACGTCCACTTCTACTTCTTCCTGTTCATATCTTTGGAGAAATGGAAATTCCTAGAAACGATATTGTAACAGTATTTAGATATCACCACCTACATATAAGTTCCAGGAAATATACTACATGGTAACCTACCAACAGTCGTTTGTACTTGGGCCTCTTTGAGACATCTTTAGTTACACTAAATTAAAATACAACAAAAAACAAACTATGTAAGCACTACGAAAGCAATGCTTTAAAACCCATTCTAAAGACCTCAGCACGTTCGGTGCAGATTCAGTCTAATCCCAAAAGACTGTTTCCCAAATGATATAGGAGATCCGAAGTACCTACGATTGAAACGTAACTAATATCCAAGAAGATGCGAAAGTCTAACCATTTACTGATGTCAATGTGCTGGTAGCACTTCCTCCTCAATTATTTTAAGACCTTGAGTAAAGGTCCGACCAAGGATTCAACCGACCACAATACGACAAGTGCTGGTTTCCTTGACGAGTAAAATTATCTTCCATTAATAAATAGTCTCAGCGGTGCAAGCCTAAGATTATGTCCATAACTATATCATGCGTTTCCTAAGGGTTCATTACTATTAGAAAAATCCTACCAAGTGTTCACAAAATCCATGAACTCGGGGGTAAAAGGGTTCCTCGAGGGATCGTCATTGGATAACTGAGGTGGGTTGCCCATCACAACAGCAGTGAGTTGGTCAAATACAGACGTCCATTTCGGATAGGGAAACTTGCCAGTTGCGAGTTCAATCTAAAAAATAGAACATAGTGTAATATCAATTCTGCTCTCCTTCCTCCACTCTTAACTCCACTCTTTCAAACAAAGTTATATTTCCTCAACCTGCTCTACTTTTTGGCCTGGTTTATTTTCGAAAACGACGCACTATTTCTTAAAACTGATTTAGTTAATTGCCATCTTAAGTCTTGAAGTTATATCTTGTTGAAGAATGAAAGTAGTGATGCATTATAATTTGGTTATAGAGCTCATTTGTGTTGCTATCTGATCAATATACACTTATGTCTACGACTCCCTAGATCGCTGCCCACAGCCGCCTACTAGTAGCTTTATCATTTCAGAATAATTCTGAAGATTTCAGAATAATACTGAAGATTTCAGAACAATTCTGACGTTTTCAGAATAATTCAGATTTCCAATTAACTTTACCATAGTCAAACCGAAACTCCAGACATCAGATCTAACATCGTATCCATTTCTTAACGAGTCTGGGTCGATTCTTTCAGGCTAAAAGGCAATAAATGCAAGCACTGTAAATTGGACGGAAATCCTTACCAGGTTTGTCAGGCCAATTAAATGTCAGGATTTTGAAGGGTTTTTATAGATGGTAATTTCGAGTGTAAATTTTATACATTTATTAGACCTAACCAGGAACAGTTGTGAAAAATGCAACTATAGGTCCTCTGGCAGGAACCGAATCTAGAGGCAGATCTAGCCTCATTTGCAAGGAGGGGTGTAGGTTTTCTATGGGGTAGTGCATGAGGGAGTCTTATGCCTGTATTCTAAAAGCTCACTCACGCTCACATTCAAAGAGTGGAAGTTCAAGCTGAGCTTCCCTTGAGTGTCAATGCTGTTTGTAAATACGGTATACCGTAGGCACTAATATTTCTATGGGTGCGCACCTTCGAACCTGGAACCCTTTTAGCAACACTGGATCAATAAGGGATAACAGTTTCTGAAGCTTTTAGGGATACTGAACAGTTTTGAAGTGATAGAGCGAAAGTTGATTTATACTCACAGCCATATAAGGTTTGCACCCGGCATCTCTAGTTTTCGCAATGGAGTCCACCAAATGTCCACTGATTCCAAAATCACACAACTTGATATTTCCACTCAGATCAAGCAATATATTAGAAGGTTTCACGTCTGTGGGAATGGAAATAGACGTTATGCATAATGACGTCACAAGGCTTGATGCCCGCGAGGAATACTGGTCTTAGTAGTCATCAAAAATTAAACAATTCAAAATGTGCACTATGGAAATTTTCCCGGGCGATGACTACTAAGACCAGCATTCCCCGCGGGCATCAAGCCTTGTTACGTCATTATGCATCAGGTCTATTGAAAATGATTCAAATTAGGAGCTGACCAAAATCCAGCACAAACAGACGGCCGAAAAAACATTCGTGGAAGCCGAATTCCTCACCCCATATTAAGAAATATCAAACGTATTAATACGACAATTTGTGAGACGTACAAATGGGAACTGCCCAAGGAGAAATTGATTTAATTTTGGTTAAGTTTAGATGAACATTGGATGAAAAATTCGAAAAGAAAAATTGCATTTATCACAGCCTACCTCTATGTATTATATTTAGGTTCGACTTTAAATAATCCAGCGCTTTGACAACCTAAAAAAATAGAAGTTGAACCGTTACCATTAAACAAAGTAAAATAATAAAGGAAGACAATCTGCAATGCATTGTCCTTAATCGTTTCTTATTCTTGAAAAAGGCAAGTGACAAAAACCAAGTGTGTTGTCCAATCAAATGCTGCTTTGATCGGACATTTTGTCCGGACAAAAAATAGCGGTCAGTTTTCTTGAAAGAATAGGTTAACCAAATAGAATTAACCTATTAACCAATAGGTTAATTGACCAATTAACCATTAAGCTGTCTCTGATCATCTTGCACAAAATACACAATCGTTAAATTTAGAAAGCATTTTAACTATACTGTATATACCATATCTAGTGGTGTTTGGCATAAAGGCCCATAAAGTATTATTTATTGACTTAATTTACCACAAATGGGTCATGGGCGCTGGGAGTCAAAATTGAATAGAAAAAATGTCCGACCAAATTTGAAAGTTTCCGATCAAATTTTATTTTCATCGGACTTTTTTCCGGACAATCTTTGAATATTATTTCAAGCTCTGCTCAGTGGGTGAATGTGGGGAAATATAAGAAAGTTTTGGATTGATAGGGATACAACTACCTGAAAAATACAAGGAGAAGTTCTCAGGTATTATTGGTAACTGGCACAAACCATTCAAGATGGGGAATAATATACTCACTGCTAATGCTACAACTCCTAGAATATCTTCTGGGATTGCTTGTCCTAATTTGCCATAGACTAATTTATATAATATATCCAGCGATGTTTCCATCAGTTCCATACAGATCCATGCGTCACCCTGGATATCAAGTAAAAAATTACAGCACTGCGCAGAAATCACTGAACACGTAAGAAAATTTCACACACAATTTCACATATTGTGAAAACGCATTGTCACATGTGAAATGTTCCAATTTACATGTTGAATAATTTCATGTGTGAAATTACTTTTCATTTGTGAAAAAATGTGTAAAACTTAAATTTTATAGAAGTGAAAATTCTAAATTTCATATGTGATATGATATGTGAATTTTCTATAACGCAACCTCCGAATTTCCTAAGAAATCACTTTGCAATTCTTAAGCATAAAAGATTTTAGGCCCCTGGGAATTGAAATCCAATTGCTAATAGATCATATTACTGTTGTTGTGCATTAAATAAATGCATAAATTTTGCTTTATGCACTCGCGTGTGCAGTAATTTTGACAGTTGTGCTATTTTAAATTCCCAGGCGCCTAAAATCTTTTGTCTTTAAAACAATGTCGATTTCTTGGGAAATTCCGAGGTTGCGTTTTTTTTTATACACCCTGTATAACGATCAATACACCCTTTCGATAATTACATCACATATACTTTTTGGTCTTGGAGCCTCGTTCTCATTAGTAAATTACGCAAGGTGATTGGCTCAGGGTTCATGAGAGAGAGGCTCCTCGCGGCCAAATGACGTAATTATCAAAAAGCGATCTATATTTGCACGTTGGAAAGGTTAGGAACAACACAGTCAAGAACGTGTTCCGGACGCATTTTTAGTTTGAGAAATTTGTATTAATGACGCACCTCAGTAAATAAAGCTCCATAAAACTTCACAATGTACCGACATTCACTGCTTTTCATGACAACTTCTAAATCCATTAAAAGTTGTTTCTGTTCTTTTTCATCAACAGTTGAATGTATTCTCTAAAATTTCATTAAAAACATAAAACGTTTTTGACAACATATACATCAACCAGGAGTCAATCGAGACATTACAGATGGCAGGTGAAGGCATCAAGTGTTCTTGCTTGAAATCAAGAATGGCAGTCAATAAAGCCTCGTGTTTGTGATTTCAAAGACTGTCACCACTGGCCTGTCAGGGTAGCTTGCCCCATTCTCTAATAGGCCCTGCCTCAAACCCCAGTATTTAAGCCATCCTGCCAAAGAAAAAGGGTTTAACCCAGTTCATGGTCAATAAAATAAGACGGTTCGGAAACTCGAAGCAGACATAATAGACCTCATCATCTATATGTTTTTGTCTTGGTCACATGTGATTGTATTTTTGCTAGAGCAACCAATAGCTATGGTTTTATTTAACCATTGTGTAATATCACGACTGGGTAATTAAAGCAACACACTGCTACTGGTTGGTTGAGCGAAAAAACAATACACATGTGACGATGAACCGACCATTCCTTGCATAAAACAAGACAAAAACATAGATAATGAGGTTTATTATGTCAGCATCGAGTTTCCTAACCTTCTTATTCGATTGACTATATGCCCAGTATTAATACCTTTACGGCCATTTTTGTCTGACTTTGTCTGTGAAGCATTTTGTTCACGGAACCAAAGTTTCCCCTCCCAATTTCACCCAAGTCAACCAGATCTTCTGATGTGTACTCATAGATTTCCTGAAAATAAACATTCACCAATCTGCATCAACCAAATATACAATTAACTGTTAGCATCTAACAAAAAAAAATGAAATACAGTCCAATCCCTCTGTACAGACACCTCTCTTATACAGACACCTATTTAACCCACTGGGCGGCAGTGCTCTCTCGTGGACGAGTAAATCGTCTGGTGTTAGACAGTGTAACATAATAAAGTACTGGGACCATCAGGGTGCAATGCAGCTAAATGAGTTATTGTAACAAGACACATTTTCAGATTGTTTGGTTAACCTATATATTGAGCAGCAGCACTCTTCACTTAAGAGTAAAATGGTCTGTCCTTAGATAGAGTAAAATAATAAAATATTAGTAGGTTGCATCAGGGCAGCTTAATGGGTTAAATTACTAACACCTCTCTAATTCCTTCAACTTTAAAGTTAACCCTTTAAGTGGCAATGTGCCCAGGTGCACCCCACTTTATTACTTTACTCTGTCTAATGCCAGATGAATTCACTCATCAGGAGAAGAGTGTTGCCACTCAATGGGTTAATGTATACACAACAATCAATCAAATGAATGTTCATTATTAACCTCATTTGGTCCAAATCTCAATTTACCAACAGCTTTGTGATCTTTTATTCTTTGTCTTGAAAGAAAAAAAATATTACATTCAATAGCAACAAAACATTAGTTCTGACCTAAAAATCCAAGTATTTAATATACACTTTTTATTACCATTTGTATTCAAGCGTTACCCCACCTCACTGTAGAAAGTCGTTTCCAAGTTTCGCAACCAATGTTGTGATTGGATAACTTTACATTTCACATGTCAAAATAGTGATGAGATGGGCCGGATTTACAGGTGGGGTGCACCCCCCTCAGGGTGCGATCATTCAAGATTTCTAGTCGTACCTGACTTGAAGAAAACTCTGGTATTCCATATTTGAGTTGTGAATACTACTTAATAGGCCTAAAAAAATACTTGTGGTTCCAATTTCATATCGTGAAAAAATTAGGGTAGGTAGGTCAGAAATAAATTTTTTTTAAATATTTTTTTCATGGTTTTGACAGGGTTTTTTGCCGAGCAATTTTCAGTACAGTCCCAACATCAATGTTCACTGGAGATGTGCATTTCCTACGGACGAATTTAGGCAATTTGGTTCAATAATTAGTGTGACAACAGAGGCCATTTTGGTACAGTGTATGAGCAGCCCGCAACCACCCGGAGAAAATAGGGTCGCACGGTCAATTATGTTGAAAAAATAATAGGGTCAGCAGAAAAAATAGGGTCGGTCGTGAAACCGGAATCACAGGTATTTTTTTAGGCCTTATTATATTGAAGCAATTGATTTCAAAATATTCAGTCAACTGGTATTATGACATCATTATAAAATTGGCATCGGTATCGGGTGGATTGTGTATGAATAATCGGTGATCGGTAATTTCTGATTGTTGCACAATCGGGCAATCACTACTGATAAACTACTCACATATTTACAGAATGGGATACTGGAGGCTTGTTCTTGTCTTCAACTTTTCGTCTGCTTATGCCACCATCAAAACTTAATTGCTTCAAATCCTGTCTTAAATTTTCTGGTGAGTTATCTTCTATATGTATTGAAATAAAAACACATGCTTGTTTGTGTAACATAAAAATTTGTTTAACTAATTATAAATTGTGGCAATTAGGCCGAAGTATGCTTATCCATGCATAGCACAAGTTTTATATTACTAATTATATGTTATAACTACGTAAATCTAAACTTATAATATTATTGCCGTTTAATAAAGCTACCCATGCAGCTAGCGGCCAGTTTTATTAAATTAAATAAATCCAGTTTAATTAAATATTGTAGTTTTGCATGGCAATAGTATGATATACTGTAATGTACGAGTCAAATCCAACCGCGATCAGCCCCCCCCGGCAACCCCAGGGCATTTGACTTAACATTATCCCCGTATAGACAGGAATTTGACGGCCCGGTCGGGAATTTGACGGCCCGGCCAGGCATTTGACCACTTGACAACAACTTGCTCAGCAGTTTTCCCTAAAAATATGTGTACATTCTAGCGCTTCACAAGTTTTCTATTTTGCGTCTTTTCAATAGTTTAAAAATTGCTTCTGAATCACAAATATCAATCAGATATATGATACAATATGCCCAGTTGAACAAAAAGAAGAACTGTCTGGCCTATTTTTCATTCTTTTTAATCCTGAAATACTTGTTCAATTTAATTTTGGCCAAAATTCCAGAACCAGGACTACCCCAATAGCAGGGCATTTGACTGTGGTTTCTGCTGTTCGGGCGGGCATTTGACCAATTATTTTATCGAAAGTCAAATTCCCCGGGGGTTGACCGGGGGGGGGGCCCTGATCGCGGTTGGATTTGACTCGTACATAAGTTTTAAGTGGCTTGTGGAGAACACCACATAGTGTAGATTTATTATTGGAAAGCTTTTGAATCTCGATTACAGATCTAAAGCTAATTTGCAATAATAAATATATGTGGTGTTTTCTGCAAACTAAAACTTAGGCCACTCCAAATTAGACTTTAGTTCCCCGTCCCCCGCCCGCGTCTCCTAGAAATGACCGCATGATTTGTACATTATTGCTAACTTGTTTCCATTATTTCTTGCAACAGTTGCAGATGAATTACGATAGACGGCGTTAAACAGTAATCAACATTGGCAAGTGTCGCCGACTAATGAAAACCAGCCTTTAATGTTATTTAGGCTTCATCCTGTAGTATTGATTAATCAACAATGGGACAGTAAGGGATTTAATAGTTTTATAGGCTCTTGAACACTCTTCCTGTAGTAATCCTGGATAAACGAAAGATGACTTTTACTAAACCTCTAGGGAGAACAGTTTAGAACTGAGTTTAATCCTATATAAATAAAGATACATCGCAGTACATTATTTATGAGTTAATAGGCCGAAATATAATTTCTTGTTTATAAACTTCACGAAAGTACTGCATGAATAAACTAAATTTTACGATCGACTTTTTCACATACCTTTATTCGACGCCATAAAACAATATAGAGAGACAACAGGGAGATTTGTATCTGTGCAAATACAATATTCAAGTTATTTTAACCAGGTTTTGCAAAGAGTTTATATTTGATTTATTTTGCTTGACAAGTAGCCATGTTGAATTATATATTCCGAAGGAACGTCGGAGTCGAGAGTTTCCGGGAAAGAAACTGGGGACGAATATGAATAATTCTGAGAATTATAGATTTTTACTAACGATTTTTACCGAAAAATTCGCTAGAAATTATTCATTTGATATATTTTCCCATCTAAATTTTTGCAGTAAGGAAATATACATGTACAATAGAAGTGCGTTATTTCAATTTATATCCTACTGTGATATTTTTTGTGTATTAGAATTTTAATATATATTAATACATTATATTAATTTGTATAAATTGTATAAATTGTAACATGATATTGGGCAAATGTTCTGGTAAGTGGTTGGAATCAACGACGAATCCTGGAAATCGGGAGACTGGCGATTTTTAATATTGTACTTTCAAACCTTTGTACTTTGCCCTGATTTTGCCCCCACAATATGTTTGGGCAAAATATGTTCCACTTTTTATTAAACTATTAAACCCATGAATTTTAGCGTTCTCCCCTTGATGAGTAAATCGTCTGGCGTTAGATAGAGTAATCGATATCTAAAGTGGGGCACAAAATAGGGGGCAATGCAATATATATAAATTAATGGGTTAATGAGTAAAAACATGTTAATTTACGCGTATCAGTCCCTTGAAAGGGGCCTTGACTCATTGAGCGGCTTGAGCCTGTCACGCTATATCGCAAGTACAATTTCGCAACGTTTAGTCGATATGTTGAGAAAAGGCCTAACGATAATTGTAGTGTTATTTGCCGTGTTTACTGGGCTAATTTGGTATAATGTTTATCTTCCTATCTCTCCTAAACTCAAGGGTGATCAAAAATTGATACCATTTCTGTTTAATTTCAACAACGAACTGAGCCAAATATTCGATGATAAATTGGGCATCGTTCCAAAATACAAATGGTTTCGTTGGTTTTTTACAACTCTATCAACGTCAAGTTTACTTCCAAAACCAGATCTACAGGCGAAAGGAATCAACATCAAAGATTCAGTTATTTCTGGCATACCTGTAAAGATATTCCGACCAGATGAGGCCGATGGTGAAAGTCAATATCGCCCTGGGTTAATATTTTTACACGGTGGCGGCTTAGTTTTTGGGAGTGTAAATTGGACATGTTATATTCAGCAATGCATCATGATTGCTCAAGGTGTAGTGACTTTTCCAACTTAGGGATATATTTGTCGATATTTGGATGGAAGTGAACAAGCCCTGGTACTCAATCGAGCTTAAATGTAATGCACCTATCAATATTAATCCGGGGGGGGGGTAAGGTTGCGGGCAATGGGTGGGGATTTGACAAAAAAAATTAAAAATTGGGTCAAATGCTCGCTGGTGGGGCATTCTAAGATAATCAAATGTTTCAAAACAGATGCACCCAGGACCAGGGGATAGATCAAGGCAAAATATTTTAACATTTAATATAAAGAGCTGAGCCACAAAAAGTGCCTGGGCGTCGTAAATGTTATCCCCCAGAATCCAGACTATGTACTGTATTCAAATTCCAAAAGGCCAGAAGACAGAAGCGGAAATAAAAAATAAAAAGTTTCTGGAATTCCCGTTTTCTTGATTCTAGGCTCCAGGCTTTGTACTGAAATTGCATGTTGAATTATGTCGAATGGCAAATCGCCCGCACCCGGGCAAAAAATATATGTCAAATGCCCGTCTGTGGGGATAGAATTCACGATCAAATCCCCACACATTGCCCGCACCCTTACCCCCCGGGATTAATATTGATAGGTGCATAAAGCCCATACTAGCTTTGTTGCCTGAGGCCTCAGTAAGACAGTGCAACAAGGGCTTGTTCACTTTCATTTAAATACCCCTAAAACATAGTTTGAAGTCATATAAAGAGGCATTGTATTTTCCCACCTGTAGTTGAAATTTTTTTGTGGTGCAATAAAAATCATAATACTAAACAAATATCTGATCTGCTGCCAGTTGCTAGGGCCTTGTTTTCATGATTGAAACTGATGTCCAGATACACGAAAACGATGCTCCATAGCCAAAGTGACATACTTTCCAGAAGGATGTATTGCTATTCACTGCTGTTGGTAATACAGTAGATAATTTAAGGCGTGGCTGACATCTTGCATGGTATTCAATTTCTTCCAGATACAAAGTCGGTGGTGATTTCAGTTGAGTACAGACTGGTTCCCGAGCATCCCTTCCCAACACAATTTGATGACTGTTATTCTGTTGTGAATACCATCGCCAATGAACCGAGAAAATTTGGCATTTTGAACAACAAGATTGCACTTGCTGGAGACAGTGCAGGCGGGCAGCTGGCCGCTGCGATTTCCCTTGAATTTGCAAACCAAAACAGATCATCCGAACTTGTTGGCCAAGTATTGATCTACCCTTGGCTTCAGTTTATTGATGTCTTATGCCTGCCATCCTTTCAGAAATATAAACAAGGCTTTCAGATGGACGAAAAGCAGACTGCTTACTTCATGTCGATTGCAACCATGGGTAACAAGGATATGAAACCAGAATATCTTGCTGGCAATGTTACACGATACTTCATGAGGACACAATTCTGGCAGTTCCTTGAAATTCCAGAGACTTCACATTGTGAAGTTTATAAAGACAACACCAATATAACTTTGCCACCTGATTTTGTTAGCAAAGTAACAAACCCACGCTTGTCTCCCCTCCTAGCCAAAAGTGTGGAGGGTTCCCCCCCAACCTTGTTAGTGATACCAGAATATGACATCCTTGCAAGCGAGAGCATTCTTTATGCAAAGCGTTTGAAGGAGGCCGGCATTCCTGTCATCACAAAAATGTATAAAACTGGTCATGGATTCCTATTCCGTCTTTCAATTCCTTTTATAAATACACCAATAGCAAAACAAAGCATGGAAGATATAGCTAATTTTTTAAATTCTGTATTTTACAAGTGATCTTAACTTGCTAGCTAGCTCAGGCCTCTGATTTTTATTGAAGTGATTTTAAAATAATTTACTGTTGAACCTAGTTTCTATTAAATGCAGTCTTACGAATTTCTTCATGTTATAACTAATTGATTGAATGATAAATTAATCCTCTGTGATTGATCGGTCCATTTGCGTCATTTGATACACACAGACCAGATTTGGTAACGTTTATACTTTATACATATTCATATTTATTATTTGTAAGTCAGTTGATCTGATGATAATTCTCTAATAACCATTTAAAATCTGCGTGTTTTCGGTTCTGGCTAAACATGCTTTAGTAATATTGTTAATGAGTAAATACGGGTTAAATTTTGTGCTGTAATTGTATACCGACTGTTGCAATTATCGCATCAAGTTACCAGTAATACAACCAATGCGGCTATGGTTACAGCTAGTGCAGACTTAACTTCGGCAAGGTTTAGATATGTTGAGAAAAGGCCTAACCATAATTGTAGCGTTATTTGCCGTGTTATCTGGGCTAATTTGGTATAATGCTTATCTTCCTATCTCTCCTAAACTCAAGGGCGATCAAAAATTGATACCGTTTCTGTTCAATTTCAACAACGAACTCGGACAAATAGTCGATGATAAATTGGGCCTTGTTGCAAAATACAAATGGTATCGTTGGTTTTTTTCAGCAATATCAACGTCAAATTCACTTCTAGTGGCGAAAGGAATCACCATCACAGATTCGGTTATTTCTGGCATACCTGTGAAGATATTCCGGCCAGAACTGGCCAAGGAGGGTGAACGTCAATATCGCCCTGGGTTAATATTTTTTCATGGTGGCGGCCTAATATTTGGAAGTGTAAACTGGACATGTTATATTCAGCAATGTATCATGATCGCTCAAGGTGTAGTGACTTTTCCAACCTAGGTTTATTTGGATGGAAGTGAAGCATGCAGCCTGTGTACTCAATCTAGCTTAAATATGGAAACTCGATGGCCAGAAATCGGTATTAAATAAGCGTCGACATATTAATAAATACGGCCCCCAGAACATAGATTGAGGTCTTCGTATATATAAGTGGGCAGTGATAGCATTAGCAATAAAAGTCAAAACTAAACAGATAATCTGCTGCCAGTTGCAGTCACGTAATGTTTATATCAGGGGACCCCGGTTCAAAATTTGTGAAGCCCCCCACCTTATATGATTGCAAAGGGCACAAGTTGACAGCCATAGGCACAAGTTTTCTCTGGGGCTTCGTGGGGGGGGGGGGTATACTTTGGGGGAAGATGTCTGATGGTTAGAAAACAACATAACCTCAAAATCTACAACCCGCCTGAGGTCCCCATTTTTGGACCAAAATAGTTGCAATACTGGTCTGTTGCTAATTGATATTTTATCTTCCAGATACAAAGTCGGTGGTGATTTCAGTTGAGTATCGACTGGCACCTGAACATCCCTTTCCAGCACAATTTGAAGACTGTTATTCTGTTGTGAATACCGTCACCAATGAACCAAGGACATTTGGCATTTTAAACAACAAGATTGCACTTGCCGGAGATAGTGCAGGCGGGCAGCTGGCCGCTGCGATTTCCCTTAACTTTGCGAAACAAAACAGATCATCCGAACTTGTTGGCCAAGTGTTGATCTACCCTTTGCTTCAGCTTATTGATACCTTATGCCTGCCATCCTTTCAGAAATATAAACTAGGTTTTCAGATGGACGAGGAACAGACAGCTTACCTTATGTCGGTTGCAACGACAGGTAACGGAGATATGAAACAAGAGTATCTCAATGGAAATGTCACACGATACTTTATGAGGACACCATTCTGGCAGTTCCTTGAAATTCCAGAGACTTCAAATTGTGAAGTTTATAAAGACAGCGCCAATATAACTTTGCCTTCTGATTTTGTTAGCAAAGTAACCGACCCACGCTTTTCTCCCCTCCTAGCCAAAAGCGTGGAGGGTTCCCCCCCAACCTTGTTAATGATAGCAGAGTATGATGTCCTTGCAAGCGAGGGCATTCTTTACGGAAAACGTTTGGGGGCAGCAGGTGTTCCAACTGTCATCAAAGTGTTTAAAACTTATCATGCATTCCTAAACCGTCTTTCAATTCCTTTTATAAACACACCGATAGCAAAACAAGGCATGGAAGATACAGTTAATTTTTTAAATTCCGTATTTTACAGGTAATTTTAAGGGTGGGTTGACTACAAAGTTTTTGTAGTTCGCTATAACTACAGCTACTTCGAAAATATGTAGTCAGCTACAACTACTGCTGCTGCTTTTGAACAAAGGTATAGTTCGCTACTGACTACAACTACCGCTTAAAAAATGTAGCGAATTATTTCGCTATTTCGCTACGCTATATTTTTTAGTTTTACTGTATTTGGAGCATCTACTAGCTCAGGCTGTAATGTAACCTATAACAAATCGACTTACGAGTAGCAACAGGAAACACAAAACAACATTTTTGTAAGCACTTAGTACAGTGTTCAGTACAGAGACTAGAGTGGAAATTGATCGACTATTGAGTTTAAGCAAACCGTGTCTATATCATTCTCCAATATCATGTTATTCTATCAAGTAAGTTGCTAACAGACTAACAGTTTTAAAAAGTAGCGAATAGCGATTCGCTGTTTGAAAAGTAGTCAACTACTTGGCTACTTTTAGGCAAAATGTAGTTCGCTATAACTACAGCTACTGTTTTAAAAAAGTAGACTTAAGCCCCGCTTTTAAATACACTACGCTCAATTTTCGGTACGGCACGGATAAAATTGGTATCCGTACCACTTTTTTGGTTCTTGGCCTACCTATTTAGATAGTCAAGAACCAAAAAAGTGGTACGGTACCAAAAATTGAGCGTAGTGTAAACGGGGCTTAAGTCAAAAACTACTGGCCACTTGAAAATTGTAGTTCGCTACAGCAGTGAACTACAACTACTTTGCTACTACCCACCCTTGAATTTTAACTTGCTAGCTGGCCTCTAATCGTGAATTGAGTGATTTTAAAATAATTTACAGACTTTACAGTTAAGGCCCCACTCTTTTAAAGTAGCACTCTCGTCAAAATTTTTATTTTCTTACTGTAAACGAAAATGCTCTTAAAACTGTATGGTAACTTGTTTTGAAGAAAAACCATGTGACGTCATTTACTCAATTACATATATAATGAGATATCATTATAAATTGTTGTGTATCTTTGCTATTTTTGATGGATTTGTTTAAAAAACCCAGTATGTTTAATGATGTAGATTAATTTAACAAACGCGTCGCATCTTTGGAAAGATTTTGATAAAAATAGCAAAGATAGACAACAAGTTACTATACAGTTTTAAGAGATTTTCGTTTAAGAAAAAAATTTTGACGAGAGTGCCACTTTAAGCCTTTCTTTCTCTTATAAATTTGCACAATAATTTATATTAAAAAACTCATTAATAATTCATGAAGAAAACACAAAGAAAAATCATAAGCGTGTCGTATCTGTATGTGTGATACAGATTCATGTTGATTTACATAAACTTTAACTTTGATTTTCGCGTCCGTGTTGTATCAGATATACAAACTCTCGCCTTCGGCTCGAGTTTGTATATCTGATACAACACGGCCGCTCATGTTGTAAACATTACTGACATTACTAATTTTACAGCAATTAACTTTAAGCCTTAATTGTTTAATTTAAATTAGATTATTTTAATGTTGTGTATTCTCAATTAGGGTTACAAAATAATTTCTTAAAACAATAAAATGTTTTAAATTGAAATTATTGAATCATATGTGATGTATCGAGATCACAGTGAAATACGCTAGATATTTTGAAAAATAGTCTGTTTCATTCAAAAATAACTTATAAAATATTACAAACGCATTTTAGTCTCCTAAAATATTTATTAGATTTCACTTAATAGCTCGAAAAAGCACTCGAAAATAATACAAAAAGCTCAAACTTTTTCGATCGCCATTTTGATTTTTTAAGGTCAATCGGCCTGTTCGCAGGTCAATGGAAATGAAATTTTATACCAAGTATAGCTCAGTGGTTGATACCAACCGTTTTTGCTGGTACTGAATATTTATTAATTTATACACAAAATGTTTAGAAAGGCTGTTACCATTTTGGTCGCATGCTTTGCTATTGCCACAGGCATTGTTTGGTATGGTGTATATTTGCCTCTGTCTGCAAAAATTGAGGATCCTGGTTCAAAGGTTTTGCCATTTGTATTACGATTTGTAGAGCTATTAAGCCACTCTGGAAACAAGCTTGGTATTGGAACCAGAATCGGAATTGCTCGAACTACGTTTGCTTGGCTCGATTGGATAGACCATGGACAAGGTGAATGGAAAAAGGGCATCAATATAACAGACTCAACCATTGCCGGTGTTCCCGTGACAATATTCTGTCCCGATGTGACTACGACCTCAACCCCCCCTGGACTTATACATTTTCACGGTGGTGGTTTTGCAATTGGAAGTCGGAAGTACAAAAGCTATATGATAACTTGCATTATGCTTGCTAATGGGACGAAATCAGTTGTAATTGCGGTGGATTATAGATTAGCCCCAGAGAACACTTTCCCTGCACCGTTTAAAGATGCTTTTGATGTGGTGTCTGCTGTGATAACAGAGCCGACAAAATTTGGTGTTGACGGCAACAGGATTGCTGTTATTGGTGACAGTTCAGGCGGTCTGCTGTCTGCCGCTGTTTCACTTGAATTTGCAAAGCTTGCAAGACCAAGGAAAATTGCTGCGCAAGTGTTGATATACCCGTGGCTACAAACAATCGATACGGTGTGCTTGCCATCGTACAAGGCATATAGAGAGGGTTTTCCATTGTCTGATAAATCCATGGCTTTTTACGCATCAGCGGCTACCGTGGGTAGCCAGGATATGGTGCCAGAATATCTAGCCGGCAACGTCTCACGATACTTCATGCAAACTCCATATTGGAAATATGTAGCCGAACTTTCCACCTGTAAAATACCAACCGAAAAGTCGAAAGTTAACCTCCCGTCAAATTTTGTTGAGAAAGTCACCGACCCACGGCTATCCCCCCTCCTGGCCGAGGACCTGAGTGGGTCACCCCCAACCTTTGTAGCTATTGCCGAGTATGACGTCCTGGCAAACGAGGGCACCCTGTTTGCAAAACGAATTAAAGAGGCTGGTGTGCCTGTTGTTGAGAAACAGTACAAGACATATCATGGTTTTGTGCAAAATGTTGGGTTGCCTATTGGGAATGACACTTTTGCAAAAATGGCTGTGAATGACATAGTTAATTTTCTTAATTCTGTGTACTATAATAATGTTTAAAGCCTTTAACCATGTGCATAGAACAATTTTCAGCAGCAATACGCCCTAAATCCCTAGTGCATCCTACTTTCTCTCTGCATCAGTTGGTAAATATTGCATGGTAAGTCTGGTAATAACAAAAAGCAATTTTGGTTAATCTGGCGCATGCACAACAAATTTCTCAGCTGTTGGAAATGTGAAGGAAATTCTAGAAAAGCAAAGAAATTTGAAGGAAAATTCAAAATATTGCCAAAATTGGTAATATATTTTGAATATCCAGATGATTGTTCTGTTGAGAAAAGGCTATTTTGGAGAATATTCAACGTATTATGCACCTATCATTGTTTTCCCCCTGAGGGGGGAGTGCGGGCGACCCAGGCGACTTTGACAACACTATGAAGTTCCAGTGAGGGGAATTTGACCTATGCATCAACTCCCAGAGTCGGGAAATTTTGACATCCGCCACTGGCTTGAAAGTCTTGAAAGTTTGCGCGGTTTTGCCTGGTAACAAGTATGGCAGAGAAGCAAGACCAAGTTTCATCAGAAAAGGTATTTTATACACAGAGTCTCAATTTTTACCAAGTTTAAACCAGTATAGACTGTATGTTCGCACTAGAAAACATATGTGTGCCTTGTTATCTTATCTTAGGAATGTACTGGGGAATTTTGACAGCCGTTCCTTGCCCAACAGTGGGGATTTTGACTACAAAATTTTAAAAATGTCAAAATTCCTCAGGGTTGCCCGCACCCCCCTCTCAGGGGGAAAACATTGATAGGTGCATTATAAATTTGATTAAATTAATATTTAAAGGAAATTTCACAATATTTTGAAGGAAATTTCGGTCAAAATAAGGAGAGAAAAAAGGATTTTTTGGTTTTTCAAAGTGGAAGCACTGTTCAATAGTGCATAAACTCGAACTGTTTTACAGAGTTTTATACCAATGTTTTAAAGCTGGTTTGCTGGTACAAATATATTACACAAAATGTTTAGAAAAGCTGTCACCATTTTGGTCGCATGCCTTGCTATTACCACAGGCATTGTTTGGTATGGTGTATATTTGCCTCTGTCTGCAAAAATTGAGGATCCTGGTTCAAAGGTTTTGCCATTCATACTACAATTTGTAGAGCTATTAAGCCACTCTGGAAACAAGCTTGGTATTGGAACCAGAGCCGAAATCCTTCGAACTACGTTTGCTTGGCTCGATTGGATAGACCTTGGACAAGGAGAATCGAAAAAGGGCATCAATATAACAGACTCGACCATTGCCGGTGTTCCCGTGACAATATTCCGTCCCGATGAGACTGCGACCCCAACCTCCCCTGGACTTATATATTTTCACGGTGGTGGTTTGGCATTTGGAAGTCGGAAGTACAAAACATATATGACGACTTGTATAATGCTTGCTAATAGAACGAAATCAGTTGTAATTGCGGTGGATTATAGATTAGCCCCAGAGAACACTTTCCCTGCACATTTTAACGATGCTTTTGATGTGGTGTCTGCAGTGATGACGGAGCAATCAAAATTTGGTGTTGACGGTAACATGATTGCCGTTATTGGTGACAGTGCAGGCGGTCTGCTGTCTGCAGCTCTTTCGCTTGAATTTGCAAAGCTTGCAAGCCCAAGTAAAATTGCTGCACAAGTGTTGATTAACCCGTGGTTACAAACAATTGATACGGTATGCTTGCCATCGTACAAGGCATATAGAGAGGGTTTTGCATTGTCTGATAAAACCATGGCTTTTTACGCATCAGCGGCTACCGTGGGTAGCCAGAATATGGTGCCAGAATATCTAGTCGGCAACGTCTCACGATACTTCATGCAAACTCCATATTGGAAATACGTAGCCAAACTTTCCAACTGTGAAATACCAACCGAAAAGTCGAAAGTTAACCTCCCATCAAATTTTGTCGAGAAAGTCACCGACCCACGGCTATCCCCCCTCCTGGCCGAGGACCTGAGTGGGTCACCTCCAACCTTTCTTGCTATTGCCGAGTATGACGTCCTGGCAAGCGAGGGCACCCTGTTTGCAAAACGAATTAAAGAGGCTGGTGTGACTGTTGTTGAGAAACGGTACAAGACATATCATGCTTTCGTGCAAAATATTGGGTTGCCTATTGGGAACGACACTTTTGCAAAAATGGCTGTGAATGACATAGTCAATTTTCTTAACTCTGTGTACTATAATAATAATGTTTAAGGCCTTTAACCACATGCATACAACAATTTTTGGCAGCAATATGCCTTAATTATGCACCCTACTTTGGCATTTCTCTCTTTAGAAAAATTCTGCATCAGTTGGTAATTGGTTACACAACAAACAATTTGCCCTAAAAAGTTGAATTGTCTTGGAAGCGTCGGACAGAAGAAAATAACAAAGTAGGACACATTCAATAGGGCATATTGCCGCTTAATTGGTAATTAATAACAGAAGATGTGAGCACAGGGGCGTAGCGTGCGGGGGGGGGGGG